TCCTGACTAAGCAGATACATACTATATATGACGTAATAGGTCCAGTCTGCAAGTTTGCACATTTAGGGTGAAATTTACCATAACAGTACTCCAAGTTCCAGATATGTTTCCAGCGAATTATTGGAATACAATACGATAGCGAAAAAAATTTCCTGTTAATCCTCAAAATCTTGTCAAAAGATAACCGGGTCTAAAAAGAGAAATCATGATATATATTTGTAGCCCCAACTTAGCAAAAACAACTACAAGATAGATAGCTGGGCCTAGAAACTGTCGACAAGAACCAGAATCACAAAAAGTTTCACACTTTTTGCTCCTAAAGAAAATAAAGTCCAAACTATTTGTGCGACAGCAAAATGTGGCCCAAATATTACCGTCGCCCAAGTACAGCGAAAATAACCCCGTGTTGTCGATCAAATCGATAAAATAGGAATACATATATATAAATTGCATATTTGCTATTTTACAACCGACCGTTATGAATATTTTCGATGGGTGCATTGGTTTCAACATAATTTTGGTAATTTAGAATACTGAGTCACCACGTGCTATTTTTGTCAGGTTTTGGCGTGCTCGTTTCAAACTAATTCCATAAGAGGAGAAGGCTGAAGTATTAATCGCAGTGCATGTTATGGATTTTCCTCAAAATCGCAATAATATATGTAAAGTTCGACTGGTTTCTATTATAGTAGCACAAGATACTATTTACCTCTGGAAATAGGAAATCTGATAACAATGATTAGCGTATTGCAAACCATGTCGAGTCAATCAGTACATTTGTGATCACGACCATTCCAATAAATTGTATTCGAAATTCAAGTAATGTGAAAATTGTGGTAAAGTGTACGAATTATATCAAAAAAGGCTAAAACATCATCAATTTACAACTTTACTCGAAGAATATAAATCAGTACATAGCCATATTTTTTTTTATTCAGTTGTTAATCTTGGGGATAATACAGGGCTTGGCATTCAGTTCCCGAGATAAATATAGCGAAGAGTTAATTTACGTCTGCTACTCGTGTATGATGATTAGGGTGCTCGCCGCACATGAAGTTTGTGCATTCCTTCTATATGCAATCAGAGCAAAGTGTGTGTGTTATAAGCAAATTTACTGAAAGCAAAGTTACGCGCATCACTCAAAAATATAGAACAATGATCTCTGAGCAAAGTTACAAGAGACAAATGAAGTTGAGCGAACTTCTGATACATTTTTGCACTTTTTAGCAAGGTTTCTAGTGCTTTTTGACGGTTTTTTATTGTTTTTACACGTTTTAACAAGATAATCACGGCGTAGAAATAAGAATTGTAATTGGTTAGGACTGCAACACAAAATAAAAACTTCATCACAAAACTTAGATTTTGAAATGTTTGTTTGTCGAATTCAAAATTTACCGCAATTGTAAAATTTGAATTATTCGTTTGCTGAATATGAAAATCTTATAAAACTTCGAATTCTAAACCTTTGTTTACCGAATATGAGATATAATCTTCACAGCTGTTTGCAAGTTCACTAAATGTTTCGTTTCTGCACTTGTTTCAGTCCTATACATCATTCAAAAGAATATGAGACAAAATAAGCATATGGTTTGCCTTGAAGTGGTGGGAGTGACGGTGTCGTAGCAATTGTGTTCATTAGACAGTGGGTAAAAATTTATAATTGAGTACGCTGTGAACAATCAAATGGCGATAAACAAGAGAGTTATGCTCAAATTTATGAGCACATAGCGCAACATAGTGGCAAAATTGTGATGACGTCATATCACACGAAGAAACGAATCCCATACAGCACACCGGGATACTTGAAATAAATAAAAGTAATAGCGTTCTAGCGAAAAGTTTAGTTTCAAATTGATTAGTCCAGTAATCAAAGAGTTTTTTTCTGCTACAAAGAACAAGTACAACAACAACATAATAACAAAACGATCGTTATGTCCACTAACGTGTCCAATAACGCAGAATGCAGCCAGCCTTGCACAATGAATATGACGGCAAAATAAATGACATGAAAGTTTACGTTTAGGATCGTTTACAACGTAACGATTTGTATATGTGACGAATGAGAATGTAGTTATGATAAGTCTCCGCGGTCATTTTCTCACGGTGTTTCGTATTTCCACTCAGAACGAGGCTTCACGGAAACTGTAACTCTTACGTAAAAATCTGAAACTTGCGGCTTGGTAGGAATATACTGCTAGACCAAGCAGGTTTCGAACCTAAAATACCTAATTCACAACCGCCGTGTATAGAGGCAGGGTGTGTGGTAACTACATATGCGTGTTATTTGGGTTTTTAAAAAACTTCGAAGTCTTCTCAAGATCCACTGCATATTTTAATCCGTCTCCTGTTCCTTTTAATCTGTTCATATATTACTCGATTCCACACTTTTACGCTTTAAATTGAGCAACTTGACATTTGAAATGTCTATATTCATTATCTCCACGTTTTAGCAACGGATAAAATTACTTATCTAGAATTTAAAAAAAAGTCGGTGATTTGACAACTATTTTCATTTATAGGGGAGATGCGGGTGACTTGAGCCACGAGGAGACTTGTTCCACCCCCAAAATTAGCAACATGCATTAGTAATAGAATGCTCGCGCGCCCTCTGTTGGTAGGTTGTGTCATTACTTTATATTTGGCTGTGAGAAGCAGACGTTCTGTAGCTCTGGTGGAAAACAGTTAATGAAAAAGCCGGAATCGCAGCAAAAAGTGAATTTCATGGTCTCAGGTAATATGTTTACTATTAATAATATTACAGGTCGTGGTTTAGTCACATTAAGTAATTGTGTAGTCCATGTCGTCATGCTCTAATGGAGACTATTGCAGCGCACGTCGAGTAGTCATTCGGCAGTAGCGGAACTCAAATGAGAAGATGGCCGATCATGGGAGGGTTGGTCCAGCGGTCACCAGGAGGGTTGCTCCCTGGCTCAACGCTCCTGCATTAGATATATTTTTCATCACATTTTTTCTTTATCAGACGATGCCGCAAACATACAAAAGAAAATCAACCCGTGGAAGTGATCCGGCATTAGTCGAAAGGGCGGCAGAAGCGGTAAAAGAGGGATGCAGTATTAGATCGGCAGCGAGAACATATGATGTGGACCGGATGACGCTTAAGCGATACATGGATAAACAAAAACATGACCCGCTTGGTACAAGCGGATACAAAAATTGCAAGCTCAAGAATATGATATTCAGTCCTGAAATGGAAGCTGAACTAGCTAGTCACATCAAAACACTTGCAGCAAACTACCATGGCCTATCCAAAGATAAATGCCGATGTTTGGCGTATGAGTTTGCAAAAAGAAACGGTGTTGATGTGCCAGAAAATTGGAAAATCAACAAAAAAGCTGGTCAAGGGTTTTGGCTTGGATTGAAAGCACGCAATAACCTTGCAATTCGAAGTCCAGAAGCTACTTCATTAGCCAGAGCAACGGCGTTTAATCGCCATACAGTGGGACAGTTCTACAAAAACCTTGCCAAAGTAATGGACCAACACAAATTCGAGGCACAAGACGTATATAACATCGACGAAACAGGGTGCCCCACGGTGCAAAAGCCTGAGAGCATTGTTACGGAAAAAGGGGTTAAGCAGATTGGTTCTGTCACATCAGGTGAAAGAGGTGAGCTGGTAACCGTAGTCAATGCGATCAACGCTGCTGGTGGATTTATTCCGCCCTACATGATATTTCCCCGTGTCAATTATCGTAATTATTTCATACGAGGTGCGCCACTGGGATCTGACGGTGCGGCCACCAGATCAGGTTGGATTAACGAGGAAACGTTTGTCAACTATCTCGATCACTTCATTAAGCATACACGCTGTATACCCGACAGAAAGGTATTGCTCATCTTAGACAATCACGAGGCCCACGTTTCACTGACAGCTGTTGACAAGGCAAAGGCGAACGGAGTTGTGGTGTTGACCATCCCTCCACACACGTCCCACAAACTCCAGCCTTTAGACAAGACTGTTTATGGACCATACAAAAGAGCCTACGCGCGCGCGATGGATAATTGGATGAGGTCCAATCCGGGTAAGACTGTGTCTGTATACGATATAGCTCATTTGGTGAACGAAGCTCACATCTGCGCATTTGTACCGCGTAATATCCTAGCTGGCTTCCACAGCACTGGTATTATGCCTTTCAACAGCGACGTATTCTCAGATGAAGACTATGCGCCATCTTCAGTTACAGATCGTGAAAATCACGTTTGCTCGGCAGTAGACAATGTTGAAAGCGTGTCAGGTTTACAGAGAAATCCCGATACTCCCACACACCAAAACGATAACACAATTCAATCAGCAACTGGCGTTGAGAGCAATACTGGTTTGACTAGAGCAGTGCAGACTACCAACGCGGAGACTCCTTATGTGTCTCCAAGTGATATACTACCTTTACCAAAAGCAGGGCCAAGGAAGGTGAAAACTTCTAATAGGAAAAAAGGTAGCACGAAAATTTTGACAGACACGCCAGTTAGAGATGAAATAGCAGCGAGAACTTCGGTCGGGCTAACAAAATGCTCTTTGCAAACAAGAAAACAGTTAGAGTGAGGGTAGCACCATCCGGATGTAGCACTTCTTCGAGTGAAAGTGAATCTAACGAGAATGTATTGTGCGACAATACTGATGACTCAGAGGAGGAGGATCAAAATATTATCGAGGGCGATTTTGTCATAGTCAAGATTAGTGGAAAATCTCGAATTGTTCACTACGTCGCAAGAGTTGATGCTTTCGAAGGAGAAGAGTTCGAAGGAGTGTTTCTCCGCCGGGTTTTAAGCGTAAATGACCGAACTACTTTTATTCTGGATGTCGAAGATGAAGCACTTTGGTCGAAGAAAGACATTGCAAGAAAGATACCAATCCCTAGCATTATTGGAACTTCACGTCGCACCCAGTTCACGTTTTCTTGTGACCTCGATGTATGGAATCTTTGATTTTCACATATTCTGTCACACGCTATTTCAACTTATGAATAAACGTTTCTTTTCGATTTCTATGTGCTACCAAGGTGTAATAGGAAGGCTTCGGTGGTATAATTCGTTTCCATTCTGTATTGACTGACAAAAATAAATAAGATTATAGAAGCATTGACTCCTATTTAAGATTAGCTAAGTTAAATTTGCCCAGTTGCCTCACGGTTCCGATACAGAAGTATTTGCATCTCACATTTGTGAAAGATACTCTCCCGATTGCAACTTAAACGCTACTTCCCGTGCCATTCTGCATGTAGCGGCTCAACTCTCATCAATGGTATGCACAACTCTCCCCAACATGCAGGAGACTTGTGACATCTGGCATCCCTTTTTAAAACTGGTATAACTCAGAAACAGGGTCGGTTGGATTAAAAGAGACATAACTGTAATATAGCAGAGGTAATGACCTTCGGATGATATGAGCGTCTTCAAATTGCTACGAACGATTGAGGAGATATAACTAAATATATAAAAAATGGCTCATCTCTCCCGCATCTCCCCTAAGTTTACCGCAATACTTCCCACTGAAGTTAAACTTTAATTACCTATTGTATTTGAGCTGTTTTACCAACTGATTCATTTCAGCATTTCAACCCATTTTTCTTAAATATGTGATAATTATGATAAAAATACATTTGGTTATTATCGATTGTTCGAGCAAATATTCATTTCATCTTAAAAGTATTTCGAGATATTAGGAGGAAGTAAAAATCTACCACGAAGGGTTAATTTATACTTTAAAAAAGATACCCAAGTTCATTATATGCACCATTTCTTACGGCGATGAACGAGA